AATTTCACGCAAGTTTTGGTAACTCGTCAGAAATAACTTTGGTTATAACTTAGATGGGACGTGCTATCACACCAACCGTATTCGCCAGATCGACCACACTCAGATTATTACTTGTTCCAGTCTATACAATTTTTTTTAACTGTAAGACATTTACTTGAAATGACAATGTCACTTGGATCGGTTTTTTGTAAGCAACGATCAAAACTTTTATGAATGTGAAATTGTGCTATTACCAGAAATGATGACAACAAATATTTCAACAAAATGGTCGATAAATAATTCAACAAAATATTTATTTATTATAAAAATATTGCGTTTTTTTCCACTGAAAAAAAACGAACTTACTTTTTGAACAACCCAATATAAAGGTAAGTGTACAATGTTTGTTCTGCTAAAACTGAAAAATGAGTCCTGATATGATCAAGGGAGTTATGGTGTGGGGTAGCCCTCTACCCCCATCCATGAAGAAGGTTCCCATTTTTACCTGAAGAGCATGCTGTTGAAGATATAAGGGCTGGAAGTTTCGTCCTCTAGAAATTTCTAGAACAGTCCAGAACGTTCGAAAGTATTCGAGAGCATTCCACAACATTCCAGAATACTCTGGGATGTTGTGGAACATTGTGGACCATTCAAAGCCTTTTTTGTATGGGTGGGACTACCCATTGGTGGGGGTATATAAAGCAAGATCCGTCGTGGATTTGAACGTCAGTTTCTTATCAGTGATGAAGAGAAGAACCGAAAAAGAAGTGAAAATTCCTTTATTAGAAATGTTTAGAATGTTTGAAATCTTCACAAACACTTCCAGTTATTCCCAATTCAACACCAGCAGACGAGATCAATGCATGCTTAAAAAAATCACATCTCTGGTCATACATACAAATACTGCGACTAACAAAAAATATGAGAGTTGAACTCTCGAACGAAAGACAAAACAACAGCACATTTTGCTCAAAAACTTTTACGAATAGGTGAAGGCACATATCCCACTGACCAGGCGACGAGCCTCATTGAACTCAGCAGTGATTTTTGCAACATAGCCACTACTGAAAATGAACTCATCGACCAAATTTATCCAAACATTGTTCACAACTATACCAATCCGGAGTGGCTATTTCAAAGGGCAATTTTGGCAACTAAAAATATTGTCAACGATATCAACTTGAATATTCAAAAGAAAATTCCTGGTGAGGAGAGAATATACAAATTGATCGACACGATGGTAAACGTTGAAGAAAGTGTCAACTTCCCTACAGAATTTCTAAACCGTTTGCAAGTATCAGGAATGCCATTACACTGCCTTTGGCTGAAAATTGGATCTCCGATCATACTACTCGGAAATCTGAACTCACCAAAACTATGTAATGGAACAAGGATGATTGTCAAACAGCTATCGAATAATATCATTGAAGCCGAACTTATGACTGGAAAGGACAAAGGACACACAGTATTTATCCCCAGAATATAACTGATCTCTACTGAATTGCCATTCCAATTTAAAAGACTGCACTGTCCAATCAAATTAGCCTATAGTTTTACAATTAACAAAGCGCAAGGACAAACTTTAAAACATTGCGGCATCAGCCTCAAAGACTCCTGCTTCTCTCACAGTCAACTATACGTAGCTTGCTCTCGAGTAGGAAATTTGAAAAATTTGTACATATTTTTGTACATATTATTTGTACATTCATATTGTACATACATTTTTCATTTTGTTACCTCAGATAACAAAATGAAAAATGTTGTTTATAAACAAGTATTTTAAATAGTTAGAATATGTTTTCAATAAAATTTTTTACCTCTTATATTTTAAAGTTTATCCTTTTATTCCAACTACCACACAATCTCATATCAACTCCCTGAGCAAAGCCTGGTACTCCAGCTAGTATGAAATAAAGATTATTCTCTGTAGCACTGATACCTATGAGAACCAGATAGGAATATATTAAAATTTTTTACTATAAATTGAATAATTGATCAATAAAATTAATTGATTAATATCAGGCTCAATCTTGCCTTACGGTCATTTTTTGTCCAGGCGTCGTGTTCCAATCAAGATTCAGGATTACTAGCGATAATGGCTAGACAAGGCACCGCTCCATTAGCGTATTCCCACATGCCATCCCTTTCAAGTATGGCTTCAGCTTGAAGACTTCACGTATTGTAGTTTTCTTGATTTAATAGCTTGACTTTAGATGAATTCATCACTGTGGACACGAGGATCGATAGATGAAATAATAAAGGCAAAAGATACGAACCAAGATGTTGAACAAGTTGAAACAAGATGTGATTGTTCAATTCATTTACACTGTGGTGATAGTGTCTGGGCCCGTAACCTGTTGTTAATCGGGAATTAGCAGAAAGACACACAGACGTTACACATTGTAGTGGTCAAAGTAGTTTCATTTAATCAAGGAATTGATATACTGTACAAATAAGTCTCTACATAACTGTGAATTGAATGTCTGCACGTGTTGACTGATTGCAGTCAGAACAAAGAAGAAAAAGACAAAGGGTCATTAAACTTTCTATGGTCCCTGGGAAGGTCCCTCTAGTGGACCAAATTGGTATACATCGAGAGTACTGACACAGACGTCCCACTTTTGGTGAGTGAGTCCCAATTTTTAACAATTTGTTCCGCATCCTGCAGTGTTTTAAAAAAGTCCTGAGTTTTGGAAAGATTAAGTTTTTGTCAATTATGTGTCATAAACTTATGTTTAAGATTTGTGAAGATCGTTTTGTATCACATGTATCATTACCAAGATGTGCATGAGCATCAAAAATAAAGAATGCTGCACCGACAAAATGCTGCCCCCTTTTGTGTTCATGGCAAGACTGACAAAAAATGGTTTGGGGCACACAGCTGCAGTAATGGAGCAGTGTGTGTTCACAGGCTGTCCAAATGAGCGAACATTTTGTTTGTTGCATGTTACACAGTGCAGAATATAAAAATTGTAGAATATGTACCTGTACTGTCCTTACCAGGAACTAATGCCGTGACTGAATGCATTTTTTCTATCATAAATACTGTGGACATCTGATAAATCACAATTAAGTATTGAGACTTTGAAAGCCATATTATGTGTGAAATATAATTTAACAAATTCTTGCAAAAAATTTTATGACATTTTAAATAATGACAGCAATCTACCAAAAAAAAGTTCACTCAAATGAGAAATATGTGAAAGAATAAAGAGTTCTTAAAGATTTATAATATATATACTGGGTGTTTTTTTTTTAAACTGATGATACTCAAAGACATCTGTAGAGCAATCTAACAGCCAGACTGTCACCAAATTTGGGAGAGTGACTAAGAACGACATAGGAAAGATTCCGCGAAGAAAAAAGTAGTACCTAAATTTGCCAGCAGGGGTGGATTTGACACTGTTGTAGTGAAACAGCTAAGAATTTGCCCAGTTGCAATTAACAAACACATGAATGATCAGACAGAGGTTTCAGTGCAATAATGAAAGTTTAATTAATCAGCAAGTAACTTTCTCCCTCTTTCAATGTGACCGTCGTCCTGCTGGACAACACATTGCATCCTGAACATTGTGTTCTCTACGGCTGAACGTAACATGTCCACAGGAATGTTCATCACAGTTCAAGAAATGTTGTCCTTCAAGGTCATCAAGTTGGGGACACCACCAAGATACCTTGGACTTTAAGTAACCCCACAGGAAAAAGTCACATGGTGTTAGATCCGGGGGTTAGAACCTTCAACGAGTGCAATTGCAACATCACTAACTCTCTATGCAGACACCAGTTTTTGCCCTCTACCAGGCTGAACTGCTGAAGATCCTGTCTCTTCAAATTTCTTTATCAAGTCTTTCAATGCATTAATTGATAGAGGACCTCTGCGCAGGTTGTTATGGGTTCTAAACTCATGAAGAGCACCCAGTGCGCTCGATTAAGATAATAAAGTTTCACAAGCAATGCCAGCTGAGGTAATGAAAGATGCATGTTGAACTTTGCTGAAGTCTGGAATGCTCTTTGGACTTTTGTCCTTGTCTTTTAAGGTCAAATTAGGTGGCGCTGCTGTTGACCATGTCATTGTGAATTTGGATTTTGAGGTGTTACCAGCACGTTATGCAAATTCTTAGCTGTTTTGCTACAGCAGTGCCAAATCCACTCCTACTGGCAAATTTAGGTACTACTATTTTTCTTCACGGAATCTCTTTCTCATGTCGTTCTTATCACTCTCCCAAATTTGATGACAGTCCAGCTGTTAAATTGCTCTACAGATGTCTCTGAGTACCATCAGTTTAAAAAAACACCCTGTATTTATTATATTTGTAAATTTTACGTACGTTGAAAGTTTAAAAAATATAATACAATACAATTTTTGCATTCTTTGATGGTAAAATTTTGTTGCTCTAGAACAATTTTTTTCAACAAGACAACCACTCCCCCATCAATTTTGTTCTGCTTCACAAATGTTAAAATCTAGTCATCTTAATATATAAGGGATGCTATTTGCGTAACTTAGACCAATATCCAAAAATTTGTGACCAAATTTTCCTTTATGTCCAATGTAATATCTGATATAAAAGTCTCTTGACATTTTCATTACTCTAACTGAAGATGTCATAATATCAACTTGTATAGGCTATATGAATATTGAAAAAATGTAACATTGCAAAACTTATTACAAATTCAATAACAATATTTTAATTATAAATTAACAAATATAAATTGAAAACAGTACTTACATTTAAATCAAAAGAGATGATAATATTTTTAATATGACCAATGAAATAAAAGTGTGGAAAAAAAACAATTAAAATTAGTTTATAAATTGTATAAAATGTAATTATATAATGTATTTTAAAATGAGTACAAAATATATTTAGAAATACCTGCATGCAATTAATAATTTTATGAATATTTTAATCATAACTTTTGAATTTTTTATAATATCTGCTGTTTCTTTTACAGTTTATTAAGTATTTCTCAAACATAAAATTGCATTATTAAATTTATATATTACAAATTATATACAGAATTATGATGGTTTAGTTGTTCGTTCTGCCACAAAAGTAACTGCAGAAGTGATCGAAGGCACTGACCGATTGAAAGTTATTGGAAGAGCTGGAACTGGAGTTGATAATATTGACTGTAATGCAGCTACCAGAAATGGGGTTTTAGTGATTAAGTAAGTTAATTTTAATAATTCCATAAATAAAATAAATTGAAAAAAACAAAATAATATAATAATTTAAAAATTAAATGTACTTTTAAAATAGTAATTTTATTTTATATGATTTGAGTAAACAGATTTTTATGATTAGAATAATCTTGACACAAATAAGGAGTAAAATTACCTAAAAAAATAAATGAAATTACAATAATTAGAGATTCAGAAGATTAAAGAAGAATGGAATGGAAAAGTATATGGATATGTCAGCTTTTATTTCTTTAACTGTTTACACAGTACAAATATGTCTATATTCAATCTATTACAATATTGTAATAATTTTCCTCACAAAGTTTATCAAGAGTTATCTAAATTTTTAAGATTTTTTTTTTCAGTTATGTTTGCTTTGTCAGAATGATACAATCAAGAAAAAACTTTTCTATAAAATAACAAGTTTGATTGATTAACACAAAGTTAGTTGATTCATTTGAATTACATTATATATATCAGCATTTCAAAACCCAATGTTTTAATAATAAGCCAAATGATTAAATTAGCCCAATTTAAAATATGGAAATCATTTGGTGAATTACATTATATTAAAAAAGTAAGATTAAAAATGGAGTAACAAGATTTAATCTTACTTTTTATTAAATATTTTTTAAGGATTTATTTTATTTAGAATTTTTAAACTGACAAAGATAACATTAGATGAGATTAGAACAAATATTTTTAATATTTATTGAAATTCAATTGTGAAAAATAATATCCATTGTAAAATATTCTACAAAAGGATAAAACATGAAAACTGTCTTTTAGTGTTATTCTGTTTGGACAATAAATAAAACATAATAATTCTCATTATGTTTTACATTTTGCCTGATGATGATAAATTTATTTTACTGAAAGTTCATGCAATTTATTAGTTATATTGTATTTTTGTTTATTAACCAAACATTAAAGTAATATTAAAAAACATCTTTCTTGCTTTATCTATTTAAATTTTGGTGCACTCATTCTTTTCTTCTTATAATATACAAATATAACATTTTAAAGTCTTCTGCATATTTAACCACAACTGTTGGAACACAACTTTTCTTTAAATGCTGTTCTCTTTATACAGGTGCATATGTGTTTACATAGAAGAGCCTTTAAAGAAAGATTGGATTCATTACTGTTAATTGTGTTCAATGGTTGTGAATGACTTTATAAAAGACTTTAAAATGTTTTTGTATTTAGTCATCAGTTTTTTAATTTTTCTATTATACACATTAGTTTATTCTTATGTAGTCATTATAGTAATGTATCAAGGCCTTAAAGTACAATTACAACAGATTAACACCAGTCCTGTAGTGAGGAATAAATCATCGGGGGATACACGGGTAAGCTGAAAAAATTCTGACTGGTGAAATAAAAATTTAGATTTAATAGTGTTTTTCAGTTTATCCTCTTATAGTTTTTATGAAATGTATGACTCCATTATTAAGTCAGTTCTAATTATTTTTTATGTAAAATCTTCCTTTACAAATAAATCATTATTTTTCGTACTAACTATATTTTCCAATTAGTATAGATTTAGTGTTATAATTTTCTGAAATGAATTAACTGTACTATTAATTCTATGGTTGATTCACATTTTTAGATATTTAAAAAAATTTATTTTATTCTCCTAGACATCTTCCTCAAGCATGCACATCTTTAAAGAATGGAAAATGGGATAGAAAATTATATATGGGACAAGAATTACTTAATAAAACATTAGCAATTGTAGGTCTTGGTAGAATAGGAAGAGAAGTTGCAACTAGAATGCAAGCTTTTGGAATGAAGGTAATTATTTATAAAATTGCATCTCAAAGTGAAAAACTAAATTATATTTATTTAGTAATTGAATTTTTTTAACAGTTTTTTTATTTGTTAAATTTTATTTTTAATTTAATTTTTATATAGAATTATTTACTATATTAAGTAATTGATTATGGTTGATTTAATTTAAATTAACTAAATACTAAATTTCTAAAAGCTAAATATGAGAATTAATTATAAATTTAAGTAGTAGCCCACAGCCTATTTTACATGAGGAAGACAACCTAAAGAATATGATATCAAATGCAAAACTTATTTTCAAATAGGTGTGTTCAAGACACAAAATTGAATACATTTTAATATTGCTTAATTATTTCATTTTAATTAAAACTGTTATTAATTCAGTTTCTGAATTTAAATTTTTGTTATGTACTCAAATAAACAAACATGTTATTTAACCCCTTTGTCTCCAGTCCAAAACTGACTAACTTGTCAGTCATTTTTTCACCCAGTCACCCTACCTCCTATTGTTCTCCTCCTGTTCATGGAATGGCTAATCCTACCCAAAGGCAATAATGTCCCAGAAAGTTCTGAGAACGGATATAAGAAAGAAATAGAGGAAATCACCGAAATAGAATAGAATTATGACTATACAAATATACAAGTTTAGATATACAGTAATACCCCAAACTTACGTGATAAATTTGGGTGGGATCGAGCAATAACCACATAAGTTGAATTTGCATAAGTCGGGGTATAATTTCGCAATTTGTGTAAAATCCAAGTCGTATGTATGTAAGGTAATAAATGTTCTCGTTAATCTTATCTCGTCTTTTGGTTTGTTCACGGTTACAAGAAATCACCACATAGTCTCTCAAGTCTCCGTAGATATAAAAACACAGAAATAAATAACACAAAATAAATTGTAGCTATGCATCGATTCTGCGCAACACGTCCGAACATGTAAGCTGAACAATAGTGTGGGGGGAGTCAGTAATCAAGAGTTGCATGCCACTCAAACAAAAGACGAATCAACGAGATTTGAAAATCCCGTAACTCCGGGTTTGCTTAAGTCAGGGTAGCGTAAGTTGAGGTATTACTGTATACAAATATATATATGGCTGACGGCCACACTTTCATTGCCTTCACTTTCCACAATAAACTTCTCTTATTCCAATTTTGTAGAGCATGGGTTGTCCAAGTTTCTTTCCTGTTTTACTGTTGTGTTAATAGATGATATTGATGATATCCTTTCTAGAAATACCTGTTCTGTTACTTCCTTCACCTTTTGCAGACTATGGTAATTCTCATTTAAGATCTTCATATGGAGCATTTCAGTAAGGTCACCTTTCCTACTGGTAGAGAACTTCTGGTCAAACTTTTGATAAGAATCTCATAGAAAGATGCAAACATTTCAAGAAATTTTTCAAATGCCTTGATCAATCCATTTGTTAACTATATTTGAGTCAATCATTTCTGTTGTTTAATAGCTAAATATTATCAACTTTCATTTCTAATAATATATCTAACAGTTTATTTCAATAAAAATTTTAAAAGTAATAGTAATTTCTTATAATGTAAATTATAATTTAAATATTTGGGAAAAATTGTGATTGAATTTTTGTCAGTTTGTAAAATATTATCTCAAAATTGATTATGCAAATGAAATACTTATTGTTTTTTTTATAGACTATTGGATTTGATCCATTAGTACCTCCTGAAGAAAGTATAAAATTTGGAGTTAAAAGCTATGATCTGAATGATTTGTGGACAATGGCTGATTACATCACAGTTCATACACCATTAATTCCACAAACAAAAAGTAAGTAAATTTAAAATTTATTTTAATTATTCTTTATTTTTAAAAACTTATTAAAAGTTTTTATTTTGAAACCTTCTGTAGAAAGCTGATAAATATCCTAGTATTGTTTTCTATTACCATAATACAGTGCTTCCCAAAATGTTCTTCTAAGACTTCATGTTGGGGATTGTGATAAAGTTTTAATGAGATTGCAGGTTTGAGAATTTAAAAACCATATTATTGGATGTTCTTTTTCTCTTTTATGTTGTAACTGTGAAACAGCACTTATGTGTAAAGAAAGAAAAGCATGCAAACTTCATCCCCATGATGTGTTATGGTGTAATGTGGTCAGTCATTCTCATGACTCTGTCAGTGACCTTATGTGTATTTTAATGTAAAGATTGATTAATCCAATAAATAGTAAAAGCCAATCCTTGGTACAAATGACGAGGTTACATCGTCATTTGTACCAAGGATTGGCTTTTACTATTTACAAATGACGAGGTTACATCGTCATTTGTAAGCATAATCTGCCATTACATAATTTTGTCCATTGAGGCAGATAGTGTTGTTGTGGAAATTGCAATCTTGTGACATAAAATTAATTAACTTCACCAGAAATTATTGGTAAACACTCAGACAAATGGAAGTACTCAAAAAGAAGTGCAGTGTCTTAAAAGGTAGGACCACTCAATCATCAAATATCTTGAGTTTGAAAATTGATAATAATGAACATGATATTGAGGAACTAAAAATTAACTGCAAGCAAGTTAACAAATTACAGAATGAACTAAATGAATTAAATACAAATATATTGTTACTGTGTCAAACTGATGCCAAGACAGAAGCCAGTGAAAATGAATATGATAAAATAGCCAGAAAGATAGAAATTTTGAAAATCAAAATTAATCAAAATCAAAGTGGTAAAGAGCAAAACTAACAATGAACCTAACTGTAACACATCAACTTCTTCAAATGCAGAATCATTATCTGTAAGACTGTTCAGAATTGACTTACCTTCATTCTCAGGAAATTTTTGCAATTGGTTATATTTCAGAGATTTATTTCTCATGACAATCCATAACAACAAGTCTCTAATGCTCAAAGGCTACAGAAACTTCAAATTTTTTTGGAAGGGTCAAGTGGCCATTTTAATTCAGGCTATTCAAATTACTGATGACAACTATAAGAAGGCATGGAGGTTAATCTGCAATAGATTTGAGAATGATGCAAAAATAATTATAGCAGCATTAGACAAATGCAGCATTTGTTCAGCCTTATTTGAGTCAAGAGTCAGCAAATGGTTTAAGAAAATTACTGGATGTTACAATGTCTCAACACAGAAATTATACTATTTTAGTATACTTTCTGTGAAGGAAACTCAATTCAGAAACAGTTTGGCAGTTTACATTAAGTTTGGAAAAGGAAGAGTTACTAACTTTCAAAATGTTTCACTCATTTGTTGAGAAACATGTGGCAACATTGGAAAATTTGAGCCAAAGCAGACAAAACACATGCTCCATAGCAAGGCCAGTGGTGCCAAGTAGATCCAACAATTTTGCTCAAAACCAAAGTTAGAATTGAAGCATCTGGCTTCAAGTCATTATTTAATATCTAATGCATTTATATTTTGCAAATCATAGTCACATTCATTATATTAGTGCAACAAATTCAAGGATGACAATCCAAGTGGCTAAATTCAAGAAACAAAATTAATCATACTTTAACTGCCTGCATGCAGGACATCATGCAAATAAATGTAAGGATATGAAATGCAATAAATGCAGAGAAAATTATAATACATTGCTACATGAAACAGAAATCCTTAGTAAGGAATCAGTTGAATTTGATAATCATCCATTTGCCTGGATGTTTGTCAAATCATTGTTCACCTTAAAAAAATCAAAATTGCCTCCCACAACCATCATAAGGACATTTGAATCGAATAGTCCAGTCACTTTAGACAAAAAAAGGTCATTTCCGCAGAAAAATTTGAAGTAAGCTGAATTTTTTTATGGTGCTTTATTTAGTCATACTATATCAAAAGTCCCCAGAATTCTGCTGTACACTTAATGTTTTACATTGCTTAAAAGGTACTTACAGGGGGGTTTAAAAATGGTTTTTTTGTTAATATCTCAATTGCTATTTATTTTATGGCAACGAAGGTGATATACAAACTTGAAAATGAGAAAATTCTCTACAAAAATAGTCCTGATCAATTTTTGATGATCATTTTTGTAGAGAATGTAGCATGATAGTTTCTGTAGAAATTCAACATAAATTTTTTTTTACCTGACTCTAATATTTCTAGGTTCAATATTCATATTGAGATTTGGAAAGTGAAAAGAACAATTCCTGGTTAGTAAGAATGCAAGAATTCTATTTATATCTATCTGTTTCACTCTGGTAGCTCTCAAGATCACAATGTGACAGTGTTCATTGATCCATTTTGTTTCAAAGGATCAGTATCATAAAAAGATCTAGAGAAGAGCTCTACAACTTTTTAAAATATGAGTTAGCTTCATATCCTGTATTGCTGTTTGATGAAGTGGAAATACGAAAAACAAAGAAGTCATCTTTCTTCAACAGCTTCAAGCCATTAACAGTCCAACCTGATTTCGAAGGTGCATTTGAACTGCAAAATATCTTTTTAGACAGTGTTGAAAAGGGGTATTTTAATTATGATCACATGGTATATTTTGTGTGATATTGAAATTTGATCATTTTCAATATCACTTTTAATAGTTTTCAAATTAATTATTTAATTAATTTTTTTAATTTACAGATTTAATTAATGATAATGTATTTGCAAAATGTAAGAAAGGTGTACGCATTGTTAATTGTGCCAGAGGTGGAATAATAGATGAAAATGCCTTATTAAGAGCATTAGAATCTGGCCAGTGTGGAGGTGCAGGTTTAGATGTCTATACAGAGGTTAGTCTGAATAATCTGATTAGTTAGTCTGATTTTAATTTTTCTGAAATTATTTTTCTTATATTTGTCATATTTTAAGTAATTGTAATTATTTATACAGAAAGATACAAATCTCTGCTTTTTGGAGATCTAAAAAAAATTAGTGAATTATACATGTACTCTGTAAACCAGGGGTGTCCAACCCGCGGCCCAAGGCAAGTTTCAATACGGCCCAATAAACGTGTAAACAAAACCGACAAATGTTTTAATTTTTTTATTATTTATTTATTTCAACGGCATAAACTCAAAAAGAAGTTTCACAAAGTCATAAACCTTTATTCATATTTTATTTTTGAGTGGAAAAGAAATATTTTAAATTACTTGGAGATGTGTGAATGAGGAAGGATTACTAAATAAAGCTGGAGTTGTGACTCAAAGAATTATAGACCCAAATTTGGGAAAAGGACAGAAAGGTGAGAAAAGACAAAATATAAAAAGTAGTGAGAAAAATTAAATAGATCTTCTGTTATGCAAATATTGACCTTTAATTTTCCACTTCTTTATCTTTTCTCCTTTCTCTCCTTTCCCCGCATTTAGGTCTATAATGCTTTGAGTCACAACTCCAGCTTTATTTAGTAATAGTATTTCTTCCAACGTTACAAGATTTGGCTACATTATGCCAAATGTGGCTACTTTTTTTCTTTGATGCAGAAATTATCATTTGGTGCATTGGCTACTTCTTGGGTTACATTTTATTTATAAATATACTGTATTAGTTGAATTAAAATGCACTTTAAAATGGTGTTTCGTCGCTTTTAGTAATTAGAGACACAAATAAAACAAATATTTGTGTTTTTCAAATAAATTTCCGTTTGTCACTTTTATAATAAATGAATTTACCTATTTCTAAGTAAAAATTGAAAGTGTCTGTAGAAGTAATTTTTTTAAATATCCTTTTTCGTGATAAAGTTTTAATACTTATTATTATAATCTACACATGTTAATCCTTAAATATATTTCTATATTGGGCCACAAGTATATATTATATGTATTTGTGACCCAAAACTCCTTGACTTTTTCCAATGCGGCCCAGAGAAACAAAAAGGTTGGACACCCCTGCTGTAAACCAAATGATCACTGTAATTAATCGGGCTATTTTTTGCTACTACTAATAATTAGATATTAAGTAATTTGGTGTTAAGGGTAGACGTTAGGAACCATTTTTTATCAAAATTAATAATTGTAATAATTTAATATTTATTAAATGATTTTAGAAATAGTCAGGAAAGAAAGAATCAGCCCAAGACAGGATTCAAAACTGCAACTTCCATTTACCATGTGGTCGTGTTGCCAGTTACACTACCCAGACCTCTAAGCTATTTCTTGCTTCCAGACATATTTAATTCTTGATATAATCATCCACAGTAACTCACATTATTAATAGTAGCAAAAAATAGCCCGATGGGGAAAATTATAATACATTGGGCTCATTGATGTTTATATATATATATATACATCATATATATACATATATNTATAAAAGTTAAACAGTATTAAATAATTTTCAAGTTAAAAGAAGTAATAACTCTTCATGTAATGTTTTCTAAACAGTAAATAAATTAACAAATGAAACTAAATTTTAACATGGTTGACTCCACAAGATGTTTGCCACATAGAGAAGCTCATCTTTTGTTGAACAAGATCAAACTACAAAATAAATTGAAGTATACATACACACATACATATATATATATAATATATATATATATATTTAATGATAATGTATTTGCAATTATATATAAACATGAAATATGAATTATACATGTTTAAGGATAAATAAATTTTGGTTGCTCATGGAATTAAAAAAATTTTCTTTTTAATTTTTGAAATAAATATAATTTACCACAAAATCATCTACAGTATTAGGTTGTTCCAAATGAAATGGCCTATTTTTACTTATGACTTTTGAACATTTATTAATTAATTTATAACTTATATATTCAATCAAAATTGTCTCCAACATTAATATACTATACAAATTCAATAGAAATGCATTAATGCCAATTTGATAGAAATCACAAGAATGAAAAGCCAAAAAGTCATTAAAAATACTTTTTACTTATTTAAAAGTATTTTGATTATCTGTAAATTTTATGCCAAAAACTGTCCAAATGTACAAAAAAAGTGATAGTTTGTTGGCAAAAAGTCGGAGAATAAGATGGATGGGAAGAATTTTATTTGAATATTTTCATTTTTGTGACAAAAAATTAAAGAACTGCAAACCTCCAAATGATGCTCCTTATCTCTCTCACTGAGTTCATGTGGTATCCATTTGTTAAGCTTCTTGACCAGTGATTTTCAACCAGTGTACCATGAAAATTTTTGAAGGTTATTAAACAAATTGTTTTCAAAAGAAGCCCAAAGAACAATAAGTGTACATGTCAAAATTAAAACCTCTTTAAATTGATTATACAAGTTTCTCTTTGTTATAATAAATAAACATATATATAATGTAAGCAAAATTATATATGCATAACACTGGGTTATTTCATTTAAAATGAAACTTTCTTTTAATGAATAACATAGCTATGACCTATATTTAGATCAAATTATTTTAATTTAGAAATAGTGAGACATAAAAGCAATTATCATGCCACTTTTAAATGCAAATTAAGACATAACATTAATTGCTTTTCTTATGTAAATGAAAATTATTAATTTAATAACTATTTATACTAATATACTATCACTGCACATCGGGTTGTATATAATACAATAAATCTGACTTACGGAACCTTTAACCGATGTGTATCATAATAACTATTGTTGTTACCTGCTGCTATTTTAAGAAAGAACAATACTGTTTTATTTAATTCACAAAAATATAAACAAAAAGAATTATGTTAATTGGCAAGTAATGTGATGAGAGAATGTTTACAAACACAACTTGAAATCATGTGATTTATTCCAAGGAAATTTTTGCTGCAGAAATTTAATTATAGGTTAAGTGTGCTGTGTGATAAAAAAGGTTGAAAAACACTGTTCTTGACTCTCCCTATCAGGTTTAGATGTTGAGAAATGGTTGAATAATGTCCAGTAAGTTTAACTTTGCCACGATTTCTTGGACAATCAGGTGATATTTTGATTCGATGATGATCTTCAATTCTGATTTTTGAGATTTATATTCCCAGAATGAAAGTTTTTTAACCAATGTCTGGTGGCCTGCAAATTCACAAATCTTTCACCAAAAGTTTTATTTGTATTTTGTGTTGCTTCAGCTGCATTATACTCAAAAAAGAAAATTATTCAATTTCCTTTTTTCCATTCTGCAAAAAAACTACTCTTAAACATGCAGAACTCATAATAATAAATGAGAGTACATTTCTAAAATTCACATATTATATGTGTGCTCTTCCAATTGCAAACATACAGCACTGTTGACATGGAAAACAGTTGAACTAAAGAAAGTTTAAATTTTAAAAAACTGGTCATTTCATTTGCAATGACTCAACAAATATACATACAATTCATATTTGAATTGTATGTATGAAATACAATAGCATATAATCATATTATTGATGCACCCAGAGGGAAGGCCAAGGGGCCCTGGAACCCTCCAATGAAAAAAGAAACACTAGAAAAGTTTCCAAAAATCTTTTCTTAATTGAAATTTATTTTTTCATTTATATTGTGTTGTCTTATATTTCTATACTACTAATGAATTAGCAGTCAGATAAGGTGGAAATTTTATTGCATTCACATTAAAAATTTTTTTATCTGTTCAACTTGGCTCCCCCAAAATTAAATCCTGAGTCCACCACTGAACCATGTAGTTTGTCATTAATTTGTTTTCTTTGTTTTTATGTATATTTGTTAATTTTGGAATATCAACTGTCTTTTGGGATTTTTCTATTTATTTGTAAAAATAAATAAATTATTGTATCTTCAGGAATGAGAAAGAACTAGTCCAGCCTAAATATTCATGTTATAACAAGTTTATTTTGCTGATATAACAAGCAGATTTTTATCTTTTATAGTATTTGAGTATAAAAACAATCATCATCTGCATTAACTGTCTATTTTAAAAGTATTTTATGATCCCTTTTATTACTCATTTTTACATTGATTCTCAATTTGGAGTGAGTGCTCTGCATGATGACATGATATGACATGTCAAACCAAACAAAAATTTTGGTTTGAAAAGCAGAAATGGGAAGTTCTGCAACATCCACTTCATAATCCTGATCTAGCTCTGTCAGAATTTCACCTATCAGACTCAAGAACTTCTCATCAGGAGAAAGATTCAAAGACCAAAATGCATTGCAAACCTTAATTGTTCAGTGTTTCATGATGTTTATTCAAAAAACTACCAAGAAGGAATGTCCAAGCTTGTGAAATGCTGAGATAAATGTCTGAATGCTAATGTGAAAAATAAGCATTAGTATGTTGTATTCATTAAAGTACTTCAAGGTTTTTTAGTAAATATGTTTAATATAATTTTGTACCTTAATTATTGGGCAGCTCTTGTAACTGTTTTTCATAAATTAATAACAAAATACATATGTTTTTCTTATAAATAAATGTATTACAAACTTATATTTAATAGTTATTATTTCATTATATATATATATATATAATATATATATATTATATTACATATNATGTCGTATAAATTTATATTATTATTAGTAAATTAATAAAACTAATTTGTAATATATATATTACAAATTAGTTTTATTAATTTACTAATAATAATATAAATTTATACGACATTTTGTATTGCACATCATTGCAATTACAATGTTTTGCAATCTGTAATTGGCAAAATCCACATTAGATCATATATGGATTAGTTCTATTAAAATGTTATAATTGTGATTTTGCCAGTCTATAATTAATTTTAGCTTTTTTATTAATATGCATAATATCGAAAAATTGTAAATTTAAGAAGAAATATTTTTTGTTTTTTAAATTTATGTAGGAACCTCCTAAAAATACAGCACTAATTCAGCATCCAAAGGTTATTTGCACTCCACATTTAGGTGCGAGTACAATTGAAGCCCAGAATCGTGTTGCAGTTGAAATTGCAGAACAATTTGTTGATCTTCTACATGGAAAAAATATAATGGGAGTGGTAAGAATGTCATTTATTACAATATTATATTTATCAAATGTATTAGTTTTGAAATTTCATATGCATAGATATGTAATGATAATATAGTAAATTCAAATTAATTTTTAACAATGTTTGTATGCAAATAATTAGCAGTTTACAGCTAATATCCAAATTACCATTAGATATCATTTATTTGTGTAAACAAGTGTGAGCCAGCCAGGAGTACTACTGCTGAGTACCGCTTATTTGGCACGGATCGAGAGATCCGTTCTCGATCGTCAATGGATGGCCTTAAAAATACTGATGTGGATCTTGATTTCACAATCTAGATCCTTCTTTTTCTTTCGTCAGGATGTTGATACCAGTTAAACTATTATTTTGCGATTTAACTCGCGCTTTATCAATTATTTTGGTTAGGAGGGCTTTGTTAAGTGGGGAGGACAATGGCATAGACTTTAGTCAGAAATGAGACCTTTGTTTAAACAACAAATAACGATTATTTAATATATCGAAAATAAAATATACAAATTGGACTTTCAACATGTTAAGTTCCCTATCGTGCAGAGAGAGAGAGAGAGATTACAATTCCTTTAAATCATACTACTTCACAAGGTTCCTTTTATATGTGGGTTTCCTGGTTTGGGAGAACCTGTACATATTAGCTTTAGAACCGTGTAACATAATAACTCTTGAAATCCCACAAATATGGAAAATATTATTCAAACAATCTAATCCACATCTCTAGAACATAATTATTGCTCTCTATGCATATTTGGGGAATTTCCTGCTTTAGTCTTTGTCTTTAATATTGTCGAGAACAAGGTTTGTTGAAATTCACGTTCTGATCAAGTATTTACTTCTTCACTGGGAATTTCAGAGACGGCACTTCATGGAACGGCTTCTAACCTTTAAGAATGAAGATGGATCTTTACTAACTTTGGGCATTGGCTGTGGAGAGATGGCAATACTTCTAAAATTAACTAAAAGTTTAAACCAAAACAATAAATTAAAGGGAGAGGGGTGTTCAAGATCTCACACAAATAAATATTAGAATAGAATTTTATTCAACATTATTTCTCATGGATTTAAATCCATATATGCCTTCAGTTATTTTCTATTGTATTGCATGTTGTGGCGTTACCAATGGTAACTTTTAGAGTATAAATGAGTTCAAAAGCACTTTCGATAGCATAAAGCTACCATCGTCAGGTGAATATCGAATACAACTGTTTTCAAATTCTGAGCTTTCGAACAACTTATGAAATTATTTGAGCAGCAGAGTATTTGCAAGCATGATGACCTCAAAATGTACACTTGTACAAGGTTGACGTTATTTCCTTATCTGTCTGTACCATATTTCGAGGCTGTCATGCTTGCAAATACTCTGCTGCTCAACTCAGGCTACCCAAAATCACACTTAATACATTTACATGAAGCTCTTTTTCTCATAACTGAAAACAATTACTTTCAATTTAATGGCATGCTATATAAACAGACACAAGGAGTACCAATAGATTCCCCACTATCACCTATGTTGGCAGAGCTCATTATGTGGAACATAGAACATCAAATTTTCAATGCCCCCTTGACCATCCAATACCCAATTATGTATTTACATTATGTTGATGACATACTACTCGCATGGGAAGGCTGTACTGAAGGTTTAGAACAATTTATTCAAGCTGTAGCCGAACGATAAATAATTGACTCCCATAGGATGATTCGGCTTTGATATAATTTATTAACAAAAAAATTCCAGAATCCAAATAGGCAAATACCGATAATTAAAACTAGGTTGTACAGTACAATACTAGGTAGTACAGTACACGTGCTGTCTCGTCCCGACACAGCACGTGGATCCCACGTTCAACCGACAATAGAATCTTAGTCTAGTTTAAATCTAACTTAAATAATTACTTTAAACCTAGGACCCAAAAATTTAGCGAAAGATGGAAAAAGAAAAATCATAAAGAATGGAGAATAAAGGGGTGACTGGTCAAAAAAAAAAAAAACCTCAGATCTTCCACATGGAGACTTCCTTTTTTCCTAGCTCGTCCTAACGTGTCCTCGCTCCACACGGTCTCGTCCTGAACTGACTCTCTTCCTGTTCGGACCTCCCTTTCGTCCACCTTGTCCGTCACCCCCTTCGACCAATCAAGCGTCAGCCCCTATTGTCTAACACAGATCGGACCACATGGTTTAACCAACCACATCGTAGCCAAGTAAACAAAGGCCGGAAGTGGGGTTTTTCCATAAGATGTGGTCACAAGTAATGAAGAGAAAGGAAAGACAGAAGAAATATGGCTTGACAAAGCCACAAAGCAATGGCCTCTGTTTATCCTTCTATCAACTTCACGGTAGAGGAAGAACAAAATGCCAGAATCTCTTTCTTAGATCTAGAAATCCATACATCTCCTGAGCTCCTATTTTCTGTATATCATAGAAACAACAACACATTGCAAATTATTCCTGCAACAGCTTTCCAATCTTTAAACTACATGAACTCTGCCATAACTTCCCTCATGCGGAGGGCTTACCTCCTCCCTTCCAACCAAACGCTAGTGGAAGAAGAATTGCAATTCATTAGCAATGCTATGTAAAAAGTTGGATATTCCTGATCTAAATTCCATTTTCTCCAAAATTGTGTCAAAAATAAGCTGTTTCCACAGTCTTTTTTTAGTAACAAAGAGGATCTAAAAATAGTATATCCTCCGATACTGTTTTTAGGCCCCATTTCTCTAAAAAATAGTACATCTGTTTAGAATGAATCTTTTTATTTTACTGTTAACCACACAACCAACGCTAAGAAGACTATTATGCAACGACAGAGATATTTTTAAATTGAATGAAAAATTTGGGATCTATCAAATTCCACTAAAATATGATATGTCAGGAGAAGAGACTAGCTACGTAGGGGCCACAGCCAGAATGTTAATTTCTCGCATCCTAGAACATCAGGAGGACATCAGAAACAGTAGACCATCAACAGAATTGGCAAAAAAATTGCTTGATCAAGATTATTAGCCACTCTGGGCCCAAACAAAGTTACTCAAATGGTGCAACAAATCGGAAAGAATTATTTATTTGGGAGAACCTGTACATATCAGCTTTAGAACCGTGTAACACAATAACTCTTGAAATCCCACAAATATGGACAATATTATTCAAACAATCTAATCCACATCTCTAGAACATCATTATTGCTCTCTATGCATATTTGGGGATATTACATCATTCATATTGCTGTTCAAAAAAGTTTTTAAATTCTTATTCTATTTCAAATTCATGTTAGTATTCCATCCATGCACTTCATATAATTTCATAAGTTGTTTAAAAGCTCAGAATTTGAAAACAATTGTATTCGATATTCACCTGAAGATAGTAGCTTTATGATATCAAAAGTGCTTGTGAACTTATTTATACTCTAAAAGCCACTGTTGGTAACACCACAACACGCAAGTGTAAATATTGGGTTGTTCGGAAAGTAAGTTCGTTTTTTTTTCGTGGGAAAAAACACAATATTTTTATAACTGATCCAAGTGATTTTTGACATTGTCATTTCAAGTAAATGTCTTACACTTAAAAAAAATTTGTATAGCATGATTTCACATTCATAAAAGTTTTGATCGTTGCTTACAAAAAACGGATCCAAATGATTTTTGACATTGTCATTTCAAGTAAATGTCTCACAGTTAAAAAAAATTTGTATAGACTGGAACAAGTAATAATCTGAGTGTGCTCGATCTGGCGAATATGGTTGGTGTGATAGTACATCCCATCTAAGTTATAACAGTTTGTGACGAGTCACCAAACTTGTGTGAAATTTGACATTATCGTGGTAAAACACTACACCTGTTTTGTTGATCAATTCTGGCCGCCTTTTCTGTTTGATGATATTACTCAATTTGTTTACTTGATGGCAGTACACTTTCTAATCAATTGTTAAATTGTCTGGTAAAAGCTCCAAAAAAAATTTCCTTAAAATTCCACCAAAGAGAGCATCTCTCTTTAAGATCATGTGGAACCCATATATCAAGCTTTGAAACAAAACCAATTTGTTTTAAGTACAGTAGAGCGTCGTTTATCCGAAAGCTGGTTATCCGAAACGTCCATTATCCAAAAACATTCCAGTCGGCAAATTTAAATTTCCGCTAGTGCTGTGGCGCTGCAATCTTCGTCTATTTCTCAGACTACTCAAATATTTTACGTTTTTGATACTAAATTAACTTCTGAAGTATAATTTTTTATTGTTTTTATATTTTTCAATAAATTTATTTTGTTTGTACAAAATAAAAAAATAATTTTTAACGATACAATAGTCTTCGTTAGGCTTAACATCGACGAAAATTCAACGCGAAGCGACACGCAACGGAGAGAAACACGGGATAAATTAATATATTTTTTCGTACATGATTCGTTATCCGAAAAATAAGTTATCCGAACCACCCCAGTCCCCAATTGATTCAGATAAATGACGCTCTACTGTAATCATAAACAGTTCAATTTGACAAATTTAATCTCTTAGTGATTTCATGTGTTGTTATTCGGCAGTTTGCTTCAATCAGTACCTTTATTTTGTTTTCATTGGCTTCAACTGGCCATCCAGAACATGGTGCATCTTCAATATTGAAATTGCCAGAATGAAATTTTGTAAACCAGTTTTGGTACTGTCGTTCTCTCAACACATCATCTCCATACATGTACCACAATTTTTTTCTCACTTGAACAGCATTTTGATTTTTTGGTAATAAAAAAGCAAAATATGCCGAAAATGCTGCTTTCGATCTTCCATATTTGATGGGACAGAAAAAATAAACAATTGCACAGAATGAAACAAAATTTTTTACAAATAAGCCTTAAAATGCTAGCTGTCAAAATATATAATGATAATACGGTTTAGAATGAAAATGGCGGGAAAAATATGACTAATCCTTCTAGTGGTAAAAAAAAACGAACTTACTTTCTGAACAACCTAATACATTATACAGTTAAATGTTGGCATGAAGTGTACATTACTT